GAGAGTGGGGGGGGGGGGAAGCACTTCCATTATACTCTTGCTATACGAGGTCCAGAAAAAGGCCAGACCATTAAGGTTCATTATACGTAGTCTTATCCTGCATTTCTGAAAGAGACTGTTTCCACAGCTCAAACTTGGGATCTCCTAGTCACATGCATAATATTTTTGTGAGTATATATATTCAAATGTAATAATACTTACTTGATCTTTATGTAGCGGGTAGAAATCTGTGGTAAGGGTGAATGACCTTCCCTGAAACAGTCATATCTAGTTAAACACTGTCACATAAATCAAAATGATATACATAAGAGTAATGCATAAAATTGAAAGGCATAGAATTAAACTCACTGCTTTTCACATGCAACCAAACTGAACCAAATAGGATGGACTCTTTCATTGACTACTGTTGTAATATCATTGTTTGTACCTCCTGCTGTCTCAGTGGTAACTTGAACTTGTGCCACATTAGTATTTGTTCCACCACTACCACTATCACCACTACCGCTAACAGGAGGAGGAGGAGGAATATTTGTTTCTTTTTTCTTTCTTCTGCATCGTCCCGTTTTTCCTTTTCCTTTATCAATATTATTATTACTTCTTGATGGCGCTTCTGTAGCTTGAATAACATCCAATCTTTTAATGTTTTGCTTGCAAACTTTGTGTTCCTTAACTTTTGGCGAAGGCACATACTCCTCGTCTGAAGGCACATACTCCTCATCTTCTTCTTCTTCTTCTTCTTCATCATCATCATTATCAACAAGTGGTGTAGCATTTACGATGGAATAAATTGATTTCTCTTTTCTTCTGGAACTTGTAGCGACAACAGGAGGAGGAGGAGGAGGTGGTGATGGTGGAATATCAATGAGCATGTCAGGAATTTTATTAAGATCAATATCCTCACGAGCTAACTTTTTGGGTTCGCTTTTTTTCGATTTTTCGATTAGTCCCTGCTCAATAAATTCTCTTATTTTACTTGACACCATGTCTCTGATCCCTTGCATTTGGTGATCAGGCCTGGAAATTAAGCATTATATAATGTTATATCAATACTTACTTTTCTCTCTCACACGCACGCAAGCACGCGCACACACACGCACGCACGCACGCGCACACACACGCACACATGCACGCACACACACACATAATGGAATTACAATTCTGTCTACTTATTTGACATAAACCTAGAGTCAAAATCTTGTAATTCAGAACCCCTAAACTCAAATAGTATCTACACCACCACAATGACAAATTGATGAGAGGGAGTTGTTAGATGGTAAGCACCCCTCACTTTCAACCCGAAGGTTGCGAGTTCGAGTCACCAAGGGAGAAAAAGGGTGGGAGCTCCTAGGGGGAGGGTAAAAAAAAAAAAAAAAAAATTAAAAACATGGACCATTTTACATTTTGAAAAAGAGTGGTGTCTAGGTCAATTTTGATACAACCTTAACTTGTTTTACCAAGTACATGTTATTCTTCATCAACACAGATATAAAGAGCATTCTAATCACCATAGACATATAGAAGAGTAATCTAGGGTTACATTAGAAGTGTATTATTATTCTTACAATTTAAGCATATAGTCAACATATGACAGTCAAAATACTTAATTTCACTATTGATTCGGATACAAATTCTTCAAAACTTTTTTAAAAAAAGTACATATTTGAAAAATATTGTAAGTCAACAACATAAAGAATTATTCAAAATATTTTTAAAAAAATTGTGAAAACTATAGTCAAAGAAAAAAATTGTTTTGACTCTCTAAACGGTAACACTTTCACATAAAAAACAACGAAGGGACTATACAACTCTCTTTGTTCCACATTATGTGATATGATTTCATGCCTTTTCAAATAAAATTTACTTATTAGAAGAAAAAAAAAGACATGAATCGGAATAATTAATAATTCAAAATATTTAAAAAAACGTATAAAAAATCAAAATTGGAGAATATACCTGATTTTCTGCCAAGGGGCAACACCTAAATCTGTATTGCATTCTGGACAAACTTTCAATTTCTCTTCTTTTACCTTCCTCATTATGCAATTCTTGCAAACTGTAAAAAAATATTAAACATAAATTAATCAAATTCCATTAAAAAAAAAAAAACCTTGAAAATGACACAATTTCAATTCAATTCACAAGAACAAATGATTTATCAAAATCACTAAAAAAAAATACCCTCAAAATAAAAAAATCAAAATTTAAGATCATTTTTAAAAAAAATAAAATAAAAAAGTTCAAAAATTCAAGATCATGAAATCACAAGTACAAATGATTTATTAACATCAATCAAATAAAAAATGAACCCCCAAAAAATTACATTTAAATTAATCTTTTAAAAAAACATTGGAAAGAACGAAAACAATATCGAAAATTCAAGATTGTGAAATGACAAGAATAAATTATTTATCAAAATCACCAATTTTTTATTTATTACAAAAAGGAAACCCAAGAAATTACAACAACCACCTACACAAGTAGTCTCACAAAGTGGGTTTGAAGTTATCTACGGCAGATGATAGAGATTGAAAAATTATTTCGATAACTTCGCCTTGATGAGAGATAAAAGAACATAAAAAAGAACGTAATAAAGAAAATTTAAACTTTAAGATCATAAAATCACAAGAATAAATAATTTCTCAACCTTTGAGTATCTATCATTCATAAAATCCCAAATTATACATAAAAATACAATAGTGTTAGTGACTAGGGTCAAATGCAACAAATTGATCATAAAGAAAGTTAATAAATAAATAAAGTGTTTAATCAAGAAACATAATAAAGACCTAGATCACATAAACTTTGTAAATGACACAAATTCAATTCAACTCAATTCACAAGGACAGATGATTTATCAAAATCACTAAAATAAAAAAAGAAACCACTAAAATTAAAAAATCAAAATTTATATTATTTGTAAAAAGAAGTTAAAAAAATGGAAAGAAATTAAAAAAATTCAAAAATTCTAGATCATGAAATCACCAGTACAATGATTTATCAACATCAATCAAACGAAAAAATGACCCCCAAAAGATCACATCTAAATTAATCTTTTAAAAAAACATTGGAAATAACGGAAAAAATATCAAAAATTCAAGAGTGAAATGACAAGAACAAATTATTTATCGAAATCAGTGATACTTTTAAAAAAAGGAAACCCAAAAAATTACAACAATCACCTACACTAGTAGTCTCACAAAGTAGGTTTGAGGATATTGACCACAGACGACAGAGATTGAAAGATTGTTTCGATAACTCCGCCTTGATGAGCAATAAATAAAACATAAAAAAGAATGTAACAAAGAACATCTAAACTTAAAGATCATGAAATCACAAGAACAAATAATTTATCAACATCACTCAAATAAAAAGAATAAACCCCCAAAATATTAAATTAATTAAAAAGATTAAAATTTTCTCACATCTGTGACAACATTCTTCAATAATTGTGACATCTTTGCATAACTTTTTGCAAATTCCACATGTCAAAACACTCTTCATACTAGCTTGACGTTTATCAAAATCATCCATCTTCCTGGAAAAAAAGGAATCCAAATCAAATATTTTTTCCTTAATTATAAACATATACATTCCATTCTTTGCATGTAAACCATATTCTAAAAAATCATACCAAGAGAAAAAATAACAAAAAAAAGTACCTTGTTTTCTTGATTCTTGATTTAGTGTTTTTATAAAGGAACAAAGAAAGAAAGTCACAAAAATTTAAAGAAGTTTGAATTTTTTGGATTATTATTTGAATAATTAATATATAGACAAAATTGATTTTATGTAGATGATAGTAATAGTGAAACTCAACTATTTCTAATTACAAGAAAACTTCACCCTTTCAAATTCAGAGAAGATCCTAAGTATACTATATGATATATACTATGGACATTTCCTTTTTCTGGTTTGTTTTACCTTATTCCTTTTGTTGGGTTGTGTTTGGGTTAACTTGCCTACGACTTAATTTTTCATTGAGTGTATGCTACTTCTTATCAACACGTGTATCATTTAATCCTAGATTGAGACGGATCTATCGTTTCAAGTTTATGAATTTCTATAATGATCTCAAAATTGTGATAATAAGAGAGTCATGAGATGATCATTTTTAAAATTACCTTGATAATAAGGTGAAATAAAAATATAAATAAAAGAACTTTTGCATATATCTACCAATCAAAAGTTTCCATCTCGATACTATTTTATGTCTTACCTGTCATAGTTGGCTTAAATAATGAAAACTGAAAAATATCCCTAAAGTATATATACAACTTAAATTATATCATATATACAAATACTTTTAAAAGTGAACTACTCTCATATACTGATCAGTCACGTGACTTGCACGTGTAAATTTTTTTCTTCTAAATATCATTTTCTTTTAAGTCAACAAAAAGTTATTAAATTTTGTGTTAATACATCCAAAAATATTTGATATAATTGAATATGCTATAACAGTGGCAACTATAGATCATCCAAAAGATTTCAAATTTAGAAGAGATGGAATTACTAGATTGCTTTTTTCATGTAGGGAATATGATTATAACAAAGTTGAATTTGTTGTACCAAATGCTGATAAAGAAGTACCAAATAAATATATGCTTAATATATATCAGATATATTTGATGAAGTAATCTAAGATTATTTTTTTAATAAAAAAAAGTGGGTTAGGATGGATCGGGTCTAATATAATGATAATGTGATGTCTAATATTGTTTACCTCTTTTATATTGTTATATTATGACTTCATTTAAGACGGGGATTTAGGCATAGAACACGTGCTTTAATCTAAGGTGAAAAATTACATGTATCTTGTTCTTAACAATTTATAAAATATCCTTTTAAACACTTCAATTTTTTTTATTTTTCTTTATACTACATCGGAATAGTTTAAACCTCGTCTCTCATACTTCAATTAATAATTGTAAACTTGTAATATAACGATTAAATACTAGTTTTGAGACTTACAATAGTTCTCCTTAGCGTAGCTGGATCGTCTGCAACAATCACGACTTGATTCACTAGTTATCAGAAATCCTCACTTGATTGGATAAATTTCCTAATTTCACTGCCAAAAAATCATTGAGTGGTCCAGAGATAACTCTCGCCGTTCTCTGGAAGATTTAGAGTTTTTTTTCAACCCGTAATGTCGTTTATATAGATAGAATTAGGGTTTAGGATTAGGTTAACTGATGGGCCGACTCATCTAGCTAACACCCTTTATGAATGTATCAAGCCCAAAAGATATTTTTTCTAAGGGAAACTACATAAATGAGCCACAACGTTTAAGCCCAAAATGGACAATGCCACTAGTAGGTTGGGCCATTACAAATGGTATCAGAGCTACTCATTTGTCAGCCTAGTCGATGTGAGCCAGATTTCAATTGAGTTTAGGCAAATTATGGTGAGGCGGGGAAAACCTCAGTGCCGAGCCTAGAAAAATTTCATGCGGTGGGGCAAACCTCAACGAAGAGGCTGAGTCCATAGTGGAGGTGTATATGACACATATCTAAAGATAAAAAGTACCACATCGACAAAACATAGGAGAGACATTGGATATATAAATAAGTAGGTCTTACCAGCTAATGATGCGTTTTACAGTTGTGCGGGTCTAGACCTAAAATGGAGAATATCACTAGCGATCTGTATCGTTACATATTCAATGTCTTCATTATTGATTCAATGCCTTTTATGATAAATATCCCACAAAAAAACTATGTTTTCTTCGAAGTATTTTATGACTTCCTCATAGACTATGATTTAAACTTATGTTATGATTTTAAAAATATTGCTTTGACCTTACACTCAGTTATTTCATTTTCATATTCAATTTAACGTCTTTGATTCATCATGTCCAACTTTACAAATAATCATACATATATCTCAGTATATTCAAAGCACCGATTAAAATACCTTTTGTGCCTACATTTTTCATGTGATGTAGGTTCAGATTCTTACTATCATGATTCTAGTCCATCGTATCGCAGCTTCCAACTAGAAAGTGATGAATTCTCTTATTTTGAGCACTCAAGTCAGTTTGTAGTTTTAGTATGTTATTTCTATTTACATGTATTGACAGGGTTATGCCTTGACTTATTATAATTTGTATTAGTAGAGGCTTAATAAATAGTCAGTTAGAATTGTTGTATTCAGTCCATTCTATTCCAGATTCTTTTTACATTACAATTGTTGTAGACAAAACTTTGTTAAAAAATTATATTGAACTAGTATTCAATAATTATACTTCCGCTCAGCCATATTCATTCTATATTTAGTTTATCATGACTATGCAAGTATAATGGGTTAGCCTGAGGTTACTCGTGACTCTAAGCACCGTGTTACGTCTAGGAGTTGTCAAATATTTGTGACAAAATATGGTGAGATTGTACGTATTGCTTCCCTAACTCTCTACGAGGGTTCTATAAAAATTTCACAAAAAAATCGTCTGGAAATCATATCACAAAAATATCATGGGATAACACACACGAAAAATAGAGAAAATCTCCTAATTCCTTTAAATTGACCCATAAATGTTCAAAAATCACTCTGAAATTGGTGAGACTATATGTACTGCTACCCCAAATCCCTACTCCCTACTCCCTACTGAGGGTTCCGTAAGGGCTTCACAAAAAAATTGCCCAAAAGTCATCACCAAAATATTCCTGAAAAACACACAAGGAAAACTCAGAAAATCGCCTAATTCTTGTAAATTTGCCTCTAAATGCCCAAAAATCACTCTATAAATGGTGAGACTATATGTACTGCTCCCCCAAATCCTTACAGAAAATTACATTAAGGTTTCGCAAAAATATTATTCGAAAGTCATATCACCAAGATATTCATGGGCTAACACAAAAAAAATTGAGAAAATCGCCTAATTCAAGTTTTTTTTCGTAAAAAATTTTTTTTACTCGAGATCCTTTATTATATCATCTAAAATAGTGGGCTCAAATAAGTACACTACCAAAGCAACAAAACATCCTGATCGACTCAAAAGTGACCAAACTAGGTTATAATACAAGACCCCTCAAAATAGGGTGTCCTAATCAGTAACTTCAACTTCCTCTCTCCCTTAATCCATCCACCCTCTGAAAATGTTCTGCCTTGTGACCCCAATAGTGGTTTTCTCCTTCTCCTACTCTAGGTGATTAATATCCTCTATTGGTGGACTTCCTCCTGTGTTGTTAAGATTAGCTCTCAAAGGTTCTTGCCTAATTCATGTTGAGTAGCTCTTAAATACTAAAAAAATGGTGTGGATCATCGTGATGATATATAAGTTGTTCCTCAAGTCCTTATAGATGGTTTAGTAAGGATTTTGAAAAAAAAAAGTCTTCGGAATCCATATCGCTAAAAAATCTAGAACGTAATTTCAAAAAAAACTGAGATAACCCCTAATTCATGTTGAGTGAAACCTAAATGTTAAAAAAAGTTGTTTGGATCATGGTGAAGCTTTAGGAATTGTTCCCCATATCCTTACGTATGGTTCTGTAAAGATTTTGAAAAAAAAAAGTGCTCTAAAACTATATCACCCAAAAATCTATGGGCTAGCTCACACAAAAAAAAACTAAGAAAATCTTATAATACTTGGTTAGTGGCCCCTAAATGCTAAAAAAAGAGTGGATTGAGATTATCGCCTAATTCTTGTTGAGTGGCCCATAAATGTGAAAAAAGTGGTATGGATCATGTTGAGGATATAGAAATTGTTTTCCAGGTCCATACGAGTGGTCCTATAAAAGATCTGGAAAAAAATTACCCGGATGACATATCACCAAAAAATCCATAGGTTAATACATACAAAAAATTGAGAAAATTGCCTAATTCATGTTGAGTGACTAATAAATGCTAAAAATAAGTGGCGTGAATCATGGTGAGGGTATAGGAATTGTTTCCCGATTCCTTACAGATGGTTCTATAAAGGTTCTAGAACAAAAGTGTTCAGAAGACATATCACCAAACATATCAATGGACGTTATACACAAAGAGTTGAGAAAAATCACCTAATTTCTGTTGAGCTGCCCCTATATGCTAAAAAAGTGGTGTAGATTATGGTGAGGCTATATTAATTGTTCCCCAAGTCGTTACAAATGGTTCTGCAAAGGTTCTGGAAAAAAGTGTCTGAAAGTCATATCACAAGAAAATCCATGCGCTAACACACAAAAAACTAAGAAAATTGTTTAATTCTCATTGAGTGGCCCCTTAATTTTAAAAGAAGTGGTGTGGATCATGGTGAGGCTATAAGAATTAATTCTCATGTCCTTATGGATGGTTCAATAAAGGTTGTGGAGAAAATTTCCCAGAAGCCTTATCACCAAAAAATGCATGGGCTAACGCATACGAAAAATTGAGAAAATCATCTATTTCATGCTGAGTGGTCCCTTCATGCTAAAAAATATAGTGTGGATCATGATGAAGCTAAATGAATTGTTCTCCAAGTCCTTATGGATGGTTCTGTAAAGTGTCTGGAAAAAAATTTCTCAAAAGCCATATCACCAAAAAATTCACGGGCTTAACACACATGAAAATCTAAG